CTGAGTGATTTAGCGGACATAAAGCTAAGACGATTACTAAAATTTGTCAACTCCACATACTGTTTTGTGTTTAACAATTTTAATGTTTTCAAACCTTGGTAGCCATACCTAAAAATATGGTTAAAATTTTGAAATTGTCGTAGATTTTTTGTTTGGTTCGTACAATAAAAATAAAGGGGTTCCCATAAAAAATTTTGAGCGGAAAATGGCACACGACAGCAGGGCAATTCTGGCTAAGATAGTTGCAAAGCCTTTTGTTAAACAATTGAAAGACAGTAGGCAAGATAGTTTGAAGTTTTTTTTTTTGTTATTCTGGCACGAAAGTCTTACAAAAAAGGCTTCCATGCCAAGTTTCATGGTGAAAAGCTCTTTTGACAGAAAGCTCATGAACATGTTCCTAAATAAGATGTATGTACATCATTTTGCTCGAGTAAGCAAAGTACTAGAGATCAGAGGCTCGCATACTCGGGCAACGAAATTGTTTTTTCATATTTCTAATATATTTCTTATTTTTTTAATGTAAATTTGGATTGATTTAAAAACCGAAAATATTTTTAGTGACTTTAATTTCAGTTGTTTTTCACAAATTTCCTTTTAATTTTAAGACTTTATTTGTTTTTTAATTTAGTTTAATTTTTGGAAACTTACGTATTTTATGTTTTTTTTCCTTTTTAATAATTTCTTTTTATTAAATTTTTTTTATTGTTTTAAAAAGAAAAATATGTATTTTTATTATTAAGCAAAATAACGCTAAGATCTTCTCGTTAGCAGGTCACTCAATTAGTCTTTGGAAAGACAGAAAAGAGGTTACAATAAAGCAGAAAGCTTCAAAAAAGGGTTCAAGCTGAAATTTTAAACCCACTTTTCCATAGAATCATGTCTTTATATCAAATTTTTCTAATTTTTTACTTTACATCTGTCAAATTTGAGTCGGTGAGCTTGATTTTGACCCAAAGTATAATTTCTTCCTCCTAGTTAAGCATTTTAAGCGATATCAAAAATGACGTTTACCTTAGCCTTCTTTTAATGATTAAAACCAATGCGAATATGGCCCGCCCAATACTTTTCGATAGAGAGAGATGAGAGCAGGTAAAAAATTACATGGAAAAACGTTAACAGGAATTAAATCCTTAGAGGCCTAAATTGTGAAGTAATTAATGTCGCCGTCTCGGATTTTCGTTTGAAATTTTTGTTAGCTACATGATCCCAACTTTTTCTCAAACTTTTTGCTTTAAATAACTTATGTTTCATATTCCATTCCAATAGCATTTCGTTAACGACAACGCTATTTTACCTCGCTTGGTAGTAATTTTTTCTTCCATTTGCATGAACATTATATCACTCATGCGTACACCTATCGCTTATCACTTTCTTTGTTAAGCAATATTTTTTATCACTTTTTAATATTTCACATTAGCATTGTTGTAAGCCAACGTCATGCACGGGCCTCACAAACTCACTTCCGATGATCAATTTTAACCCACAAATGCCGCCGGGCAAGTAAACTGTGTCATAACGTCATGATCATGAGCCAAATTTACACACAGTATCGCATTTCAATTGGTCCACTTAGCATTTGCACTTAAACTTCATATACATACATATACATACATAGTATAGTATGCACTCACTTATAAAAATGGCTATGCATCTAAATATCCGCGAAATACACGTTTTCAGTCTCGCGAACACTCTGGCACTGAATGCCACAAACGAATGCTGAACTTGAAATTTGCTATCCAAAGCGGCTTTTACGCTCAACTGCCTCAATTTTCTTAGAGTTTACTTCTTTCAGGCATATTTACTGTACATATATTTAAGTACCTACATATGTAAGTCTGCATCTTTGCTGGGAGCGCCGCTTTCTTGACGCAATCAAACGCCAATTTTCTTATGCCCAACTCGTGTCCAATAGTGGAGAAAGCGGCGGAATATGTTTATGAGCATACATTTGTATGAAAACTGGTCTTTCGGCAGAGCAAACGGACTCTCATTGAAACTGGTTTGTCTCTTTTAACTGCGGAAACTGTTTAGATTTGTTATCAAAGTTTTGTTAGACATGATTTTCGTTTGTAGTAGATAACTGTTATTTTGGGTTGATGATCTAGTGAAGAGGTTTATAGTTGTATGCTCTCGTAATACTCATAAGCCGCATAACATAACTGTTTCGACATACATAGGTACATACATATGTACATACATACATAAATAAATGCGGAAGTAAAACGTTTACCTGGATTTGCATATACATATGTACATACTTATGTAGGTACAAACAATTCCTTTTTTTTCACATATTGGCGGGCCCTATAAAAGGTCTCTACAGATTTTTAACACTTTGTATTTGATGCCCATACATCTGGCAACATTATTCCAGTTGCGTCAAACTGACTTGCATTCGAAAGGTGACATTTCAGGCTACATCTTCAGTGCAGACAGTTATGTAATTCGTTGGTCGTGCAAAAAGTTATAGTATTGATGCGAAAATGAGTGAAATACCTCAAGATATACCTACACTATGTCGAGCCCTAACCGCCAAAATAACATAAGCGACATTTTTTTCAAAATTTTCTTTTTGATGCAGAAATATTCCTAGAGCATCTAGATGCATTTCTGCATCAAAAATAAAATTTTGAAAAAAATGTCGCTTACGTTATTTTGGCGGTTAAGGCTCGATGTGATGCTTTTTTTGCTATAAAAAGGATAAAGTTAAAGCGCCGCAAAAACATGCCAAAGTGTACGGTGAAAATTATGTGAGTGAACGCCAGTCCCAGGAGTGCTTTATTCGATTCCGTTGCGGAAACTTTTTTTCAAAGCAACGCAAGCTATCTTTCCTGAAGATCGATTACCCTTCACAAACGACTTCAAAGCCTGGATTAATACATTGCTACAACTCGGCGAATTCGAATTCGGCCCTCTACTGCGCATAACTCGACCATTTGAACGAAGCTGTCAAGAAAAAGCGACCAAAATTGGCTAACAGAAAAGAGGAGTGTTCCATCATGACAATGCCAAGCCGAACACGTTTGTTTGTGACTTGGAACAAATTGACGGAACTCTGGCATCCATTTGTTTCGTTTTCTCTTGATGCTAAAAAAAATTGGCCAACCGTAGAGCCGCAGAAAATTACTAGCCCAAGTTTTTCGCCAACTCCAAAGGGTGATTGTATTTTTATGAGTTGTTTTTCATGACAGAAAGACACTCGAAGGTTTGCCATTGCCTGCCGAGCGGCGACCACTATTAGAAAAATACTTTTTTGTTTTTCGATGTTGGGTTGAATCGGGCTTGAGCACAGACCCTTCGGAATGGTAGCGCGCACAGCTAACCACCACACCAAAGCGGCGGCCTTATTAAGTACTTATGTACTTAAAAACGAATTCCCTTTAATATTGTTATTGTACAACAATTAAATACACTACACTAAAAATTATTTTTAACCAAATAACCTGATAGCCAAGCAAGCGTGAACAACCACAATGTTTATTTGTTTTGTTTCAAGTGCACGCGAGTGCTACTTATGACGTCATATGAGTACATATATGCAACAAATCCATACATACATATGCACATGCATACAGGTTAGATGCTTTCAATTTAACTTCATTTATGATTTTGTCAAATTGTTGCACATACCGGAGAACATTCATTTGAGAGTACATATTGTTATGAGAGCAAGCTTTTATTGACACGTTTGGGCACACGTTTGAGCACACAAACAAACATCTGTGTGTGTGGATATTTTAGTTTTATTACGTCTAATAAAAGCATAGACAGACGGCAGCGTTGATCTGGATCAACTCGTTAATTCGGAATCGTCTCGGAAATTAACTGCAGTTGATCCGGATTAAGTCCTAGAATTAAATCCCAAACATAACTCGGATCAAGGGAATTTTCGATGACAACACTGACCAAAACTCAGAGAGCGTGGAATACAGTGAATATGCAAATCTGGCATGGGTAATGTAGTCACCATACTAATTCAGATAAGAATCCAATATAAATCGAATAAGAACTTATTTGAATTAATACGGTGACTGCAGTACCGACGACAAGGTATA